TTATTTATAAAATCTCTTATTCACTTTTTTAAACTTATTTAACAAATCTTCCATTTTAAAACAATTTCTTTTAAGTCAACTTGGTTTACTTTGAATAAAAAAACTCAAAACTTAAAACAAAATCTATTTTGTTTTTTTCTTTTTAAACTTGTCTTGATTTACCAATTAAAATCTTTTGTTTTAAAAAATTTTTTATCAAAATCTTTTATTTTGTTTTCAAAAACATATTTAAAACATATTTTAAAAGATTTTGTTTTATTTTGAAAGGTGAAACAAAACTTAAAAAAAACAAAACATTTTTTTAAATAAAAGTATCTGTGTAGAAATTGGTTCTATCGTCTGCGACTAAAGCATGAAGTTGGCGCCAATCTGTGTTCGTCGAAGTTCATGTTGTGCCACCGTCGATTTAGGTTCGTCGGAATGGGTCGCCGAGTCATAACCGAGTTTGCCGCTACCGGATCTGCTGGAATGTCGCCAAAACACCGCTGGAAGTTTCTGTAGCCGCTGCCAATTTGCTGTACCACCGCCATTCGTGGAGGTCGCCGGAGTATGAATATTGTGTACGAGCTTGGGAGGAGGATTGAGAGTAAGAAATAGGAAAAGGAAAAGTGAGAAAGGGAGAAAAAATATGGGGGTTTTAGAGAGACAAAGAATGAAAGATGGAGGAAGCTAAGAAGATGAATTATAGATAGAGAAAGAAACAAAAACAGAAAAATAAAAAATGAAGAAGAGAAAGTGGGTGGTTGAAGAGAGTAAAAAAACGAGGAAGAAACAATGGAGGAAGAAGATGAAGAAGAAGGTGGCTTTTTTTAGAGAGAAAAAAAAGTTTCGAAAGGGGGTTGTGCTCTTTCTCTCTGTATTTTTGTTCTCTGATGTGCTTTTCTAATTTGTCCCCTTCATCGGTAGAAACCCTTGAGGTATAACACAACTGTAACATGTAACATGTAGGTTCAACAAATATTAGAGAAAAAAATAGACGAAAAGAGGAGGAAGGAATGACACGTTAAGGGCTTTTGACGGAATCCATTTTTTAAAAACAAAAAAACATTTACTTAAAATAAAAATCTATTTTCCTTTTTTAACAA